AGAAGATATTTTGAAGAATGCTGGTAATCAAACGGTTGATGGTCCCCATTGACTTCCATATTATTTATTTCCCTACTATGGAAGTCAATGGGGACCAATAACTGTTTGGTTCTTCAAAATTCTTCAAAATATCTTCTTTTGTGTTCAACTTAAGAAAGAAACTGATACAGGTCTGGAACAACACAAGGGGGAGTAAATGATGACAAAATGTTAATTTTTGGGTGAACTATTCCTTTCCTACTGTTCAAAAGTTTGGGGTCAGTAAGTTTTTTTTTTTTTTTTTAAAGAAATTAATGCTTTTATTCAGCAACAGTGCATTAAATTGACAGTAAAAGATTTATATAATTCTATTTCAAATAAATGCTGTTCTTTTGAACTTTCTATTAATCAAAAATGTATTATAATTTCCACAAAAATATTAAGTCAAACAGCTGTTTTTAACATTGATAATAATAAAAAAATGTTTCTGAAGGATCATGTGACACTGAATACGGTCATAGCTGCTACTTTGCAATTCAGCTTTGCCTTCACAATAATACGTTAAACTATATTAAAATAGAAAAGTTATTTTTATAATATTTCACAATATTTCTGTTTTATTTTATTTTTGATCACATAAATGCATCCTTGATGAGCACTAGAGACTTCTTAACATTAAAAAATCTTACTGACCCCCAAATTTTGAATGGTAGCACATAATTAGATTTTGACAGCAAACCCAAGTCCCAATGCAAGAGAACAGAAAACTGTTGCTCATTTCACATGTTCATTTCTTAAAGGGACAGCCACAAAAAACAGATTGTTTAATTCTAGGGATCAGAGAGATGGTAAAAAATAGTCAAAAAAAGAGTTTTTGATGCTAAAAAAAGGTTCTTCTATGGCATCGTGAAGCACCTTTATTTTTAAGAGTGTAGACGACATTTTGAATGCTAAGCTGTGAGTGGTCTGTTGTGACTCTACTGTGCATGTGGCTCTTTTTATGTGTTAAAGTTGTTCGGAAAGATCTGAAATTCCTGAAAATGGCTCCTGGTAATTCAGTGCAGTTTTGATCATTCAGCATACCTGCCGCTGTCCTCTGAGAAGTGTTTTATAGGCATAATTAACTGAGGAAAATCTGCAACTGTGGGAAACTTCAAGAAAGGCATACTAGTTTCTTATTGTCAGCAGATAATAATAAGTTTTGTAGTTTAAAATTTATACAATCTACAGTATTACAAGTGTGATAAAGGGACATGTATATGCATATTTCATGTGATGGCTTACTTCTCAAGTGCTGAGAATAGTTTAAAGAAGTGAAATATTTATGGGTTCGTTGATATGTCCTTTCATTATAATTCTTTAAAACTGATTTGCCTGAGTATTTCATGGTATGTTACTTACTCAGAATACTTCATTAGAATATTTTTAGAATAGATACCAGCATTTATGTGTGTGTGTTTATATATATAGAAGTTTAGGGTCTGTCTGTTTTTTTCTTTTTCTTTTTTGAAAAACATTAATACTAAGGATATGCTAAGGGTGTTAAATTGATTAAAAAAGGATATATATATATATATATATATATATATATATTTGTATATATATATTTTTTTGAGAAAATAATACTAAGGATATGTTAAAAATATATGATAAAAAGTGATAGTATAGACTGATATTGTTAGATTTCTATTTTGAATAAATGCTGTTGAAAAAAAGTATCACATCCTCTGAATAATATTAAGCAGCAAAATTGTAACAACAATAATAATAAACCAGCATATTATAATGATTTCTGAAGACTGGAGTAATAACTGATGAAAATTCTGCTTTGCCACCATATGAATACATTTTATTTTAAAATATATTAAAATAGAGAAACATTAAAATTGTTATAATATTCCACAATCTTACTGTTTTTTCTGTATTTTTGATCAAATTGATGCAGCTTTGATAAGTATAAGAGACTTCTTTAAAATCTTACTGATCCCAAGCTTTATACTCTATGTATACTCTATATACTCTTTATACTCTCTCTCTCTACACTCTGTCTCTATATACACTATAAAACTCATCACCAAACACCAACGTCATTTTAGACACTTCCAAACTGTTGAAACAGAGATGGAAATAAAATTTTTAAATACATGAATTATGTTCATTATGTTTCCATCTTTGTTGCCACAGTTTTGGAAGTGCCTTTTTCTGTTCTAAAGAAGGGGGTGTCCCAATACTTTTGTATTGTCACCAATACAAGTCATTGGTGTTTGGTGATGAGTTTTTGGCTCAAGGTCTGCATTTAAAGTCACACCAGAGGTGTTCAGCTGGGATTAGGACTTTGCTTTCTGCAGACCAGTCAAGTTCTTCCACACTGACTGAATCAATTTCCTTTTGAACCTTGCCTTATACTCAGAGGCATTGTCATGTTAGAATAGAAAAGGGTCCTGTCCAAACTGTTGCTATAAAATGAGAAGCACACAATTCCCTGGAATATCATTATATGCTTTAACATTAAGATTTGTACTCATGGAAATTACTAAAGTAGTCAAACCTGTTCATTAGAAGGGGGTGTCCCAATACTTTTGGCAATAGTGTATACATAGATATAGATTTTAATGATATTGTATGTAAGGAAAACTATAATTTATTACAAATATTGTATAGCTGTATGCTGCTTTTGACCAATCAATATTGATGAGAGGCATGTGACAATAATGAATGAATTTTTTTGGAGCACCTTGGTGGTCAAATAAAGGAAGAGATTTAGACCAAAAGAGTCTCTGTGTTTCTGAATAATAATAAAAGAATTTAAAATAAACTAGGTAACAGGGTGCATTTGATAGCATTTATCATGTACTTTTTGTGGCTTGATCATCTTGGCCTATATTGTATGGCGCTAGTAATGTAACATCCATCCCCCACCATATTAAGCTTTGATCAGGTGAGGAGTCCCCTGAGCAGACAGGTAGCAGCAGAGGTGGGATGGGGCAGCCGACGGTGAAAGCACAGGGAGCTGCTTGGAAAAAAGTTACCAGCAAGGACACAATTCATTTTCAATGACAGAGGCGGGTAGAATTTAGAGCAGTTGCAATCCCAGGAAAGAATGGTGTATATGTCTTAGAACAGCCTTATAGAATGCTCATCCTAGCCGGTTACCTATATCGCTTATAACAGGATCCGCAACTGCAGTTTAAATGGATCGGCCTGAGTATGTAATATTTATATATAATAGTATTGTGAAAGCATTGAGTAAACGGATGTTACAAATAGTGGGTTGCTAAGTAGTGGTGATGCTTGCTGGGCTTAATGCATCATGCATATTTGTACATTAGATGCATCATGCATATTATGGAATGTACAGATTCTCCAGAATCACTTTGTGATGCTATCAACTGATCTCTGTGTTTGTTATTCCCTCAGGATTTTTTCAGCAAGTCGGATCCATTCTTAGAGATCTACAGGGAAAACGATGACAGCACTCAGCAACTAGTGCACAGAACAGAGGTAAGAAAACCATTTCTCTCTAAGATCTCTCTGTGATAGTGCTTAACCGACACTGAATCGCTCTCTCTCCCCCTCTGCACATAGACTGTCATGAATAACCTCAACCCCGCATGGAAGACCTTCAAGACGTCCCTTAACTCACTCTGTAGTGGAGACCATGAAAGAATCCTGAAGGTAAAATATGTCACTTGCTGTTGGAGATTAATGTGTATTTGACTTACACTAACAAAAAAATACACGGATCCATTTTAATTTAGTTTTATATTTACATTAGCATTTGCAATTCATGTTCCTGGCAGACGGCAGCTTATAAGCTGCTTGGAAGAACATGCATTGCGTTCATAATTTGATGTAGTTGCTCTTGGGTAAAAATGGTCTGCTTTTTACTCGTCAATAATTCCACTAAAATTTGACTGAAAGGCACTTCAGCACTTTGGGCAAAGTTGTTTTATTATTGCATTAATGCAGATGTACATTTCAATGTTCAGATTTCCAGTACATTTTTATGCAGTTAGTGAAATATTGACTCTTTAGTGAGATGCTGTTGCATAAGTCTACTTTTGTATTACTGGCTTAGATGTATACCTGGTACCAGTTGCATAAACAGCCACTATGTTAAGACTATTTCATTGAAATATTAAGAATATTTCAACCAATTAGGGGTAAACAGTCTTACTTTTTTAGATTAAAATTAGACCAATCTACCTTTATGTAACTGACTTTAAAATGTTATGACCAGTCTTGAAGAAAAATAATTAGATGACTAACTTTTTAAGACTAGCTTAGGCCCCGTCCACACGGAGACGCGTTTAGCTGTATACGCATACATTTTGTATCGTATAGGCGTATCGTCCACATGGATCCAGCTTTTTGGGAGAGTGAAACCGATATTTTTTGAAACCGGGTCCCAGAATGGATAAATCTGAAATCTGAATCTGAAAACGCCGCCCTTGTGTTTTTGTGTGGACAGCGAATCCGTATATTTTCTGAAACGATAACGTCATCAGCCCACGTCTCGCCCCTAGTCAGACACCGCTACGGAACAGCAACAAAAACATGAACAAACACTGAACGATTGTCTTTTTATTAACTAACATTAACACAGATTAATAAATGTATTGTTCCATGTTCGTTTGTATACCTCGCGCAAGGTTTATGTGCATAGTCCAAGTCTTCTTCTCCATTTTTAGTGTATCTCTGTGGCAGAATTACAGCGCCACATATTGGTCTGGCATGCATACTACATAGTTTTGTGGTGGTTTTGTGGTTTCGTGTGGATGCAGATATTTCTTGAGACGAGGGAAAAAAAAAGATCGGATAGGGGAAGCTCTGGCTTCGTGTGGACGTAGCGTTAGTGACAGAGCTTAACTAGCTTAGTGAAGTTGTATTTACAGTATACACAGAAAAATGAGCTGTGCTGATTTGCATACTGTTTTGAAATTCAATGAGTGTTGCTGGAACACCGTGTGTGTTGAGATCAGATATCTGGCAGGAGTTCTGATTAGTCACATGGCCTGATTACACTGGCTCTGGACTATAAGGCTTGGTGAGCATGTATTTCAGCAAGGATGCACCAGGAATTCCCATGTGTTCTACTTGTGCATTTGCTAATTTACCTCCCTCTTTCCCCTCTCTGGCCTTCTCTTGCTTCATTTATTCATTCGTCATTCATTAAAGACTGGTTGATTTCATTGGGAATGAATGAATGAATGATGCATTTATATAGCGCTTTATTGTGTATTGCTGTACACCCAAAGCGCTTTACAATCATGTTGGGGGGTCTCTCCTCAACCACCACCAGTGTGCAGCATCCACCTGGATGATGCGACAGCAGCCACAGTACAACGGCGCCAGTGCGCTCACCACACACCAGCTACAGGTGGAGAGAAGAGAGAGTCATAGAGCCAATCAAGTGTATGGGGATTATTAGGAGGCCATGATTGACAAAGGCCAGTGGCGACAATTTGGCCAGGACACCGGGGTTACACCCCTTCTCTTTACAAGTAGTGCCATGGGATTTTTAATGACCACAGAGACAGAGTCCGGACCTCGGTTTAACGTCTCATCCGAAAGACGGTGCTTTTGTCCCCATCACTATACTGGGGCATTAGGACCCACACAGACCACAGGGTAAGCTCCCCCTGCTGGCCTCACTAACACCTCTACAAACAGCAACCTAGTTTTCCCAAGAGGTCTCCCATCCAGGTACAGACTAGGCTCAACCCTGTTTAGCTTCAGTGGGCAACTAATTTTGGGCAGCAGGGATTTACAGGGATACTAGATTTTGAGATATAGACATATACTACTGTTCAAAAGTTAAGATTTTTTAAAATTTATTTATAAACCTTCAGAAATAATTTTAAGAACTGTCTGTAATTCTATCATTCAAGAAACATTTGTCATGAGAGTTGAAAACAGTTGTGCTTCTTAATATTTTTGTGGAAACCATGAAACATTTTTTTAAGATTGTGTGATGGAAGTTCAAAAGAACAGCATTTATTTAAAAATAATTTAAAAAATCTTTACTGTCACTTTTGGTCAATTTAATGCATATTTAAAAAAAATAGCATTAAAGCTCAGTGTTACAGTGGAGTGATGGAGTCTGTGTACTCCATGAACTATCCATTTAACAATAAGATGCTTTGGGCCCATCTCTTAAGGGCACCTGTGTGCCTCTCTTCCTGCTTGTAGTGCATCAGCATACGGCTGCATGTGGCTTCTCTTCTGCCCACTCATGACTGAACAGAACTCAGACCTTATTAAAGCAAATGGCTCAGCCTCATTTAGTAGCAGCCATCCTTCATGCCATCTGCAGAAACACTCACGGACTAGGCTCAGCTCACAGCTGGAGCTCACCCCATTCCCAGACCTGCTGCTGTCACACCACTCAGAGCAAAGGCAATCCGTGTGGGAAAAGTGTCTTCCTTTTAGAACCTCTGCTGAACACTTAAGGGTGTTGTTAACTCATAATGACTGATTGATTGGATCCTGCCGATATTCGACAGGCCTTATTATGACTCCACTGAAGCGTATTTGTTGTGGCCTAATGAAATATTAAGTGTGATGATTTAATTTTTCTTGTTGTGTACACTGACTTTCTCTATCAAACAGAGTTCAAATGATGAACTAGACACTTTCAGACAGACTCTCTCATGAACGTTAAGCTATCTGCCTTTCTGTAGGATGCTTAACATTGCTGTTGGTGCATCAATTGTTTGGTTCTTAGTGTGGTACACCTGACCAGAACCAGTATACCTGAACATAAAATCTAAGCAAGAAACTCAGAGAGGAACAAGACACATAAGGGTCAATTGTTCGAAATTGAGATATATACATTATCTGAAAGCTGAATATGGGCAACTAATTTTGGGCAGCAGGGATTTACAGGGATACTAGATTTTGAGATATAGACATATACTACTGTTCAAAAGTTAAGATTTTTTAAAATTTATTTATAAACCTTCAGAAATAATTTTAAGAACTGTCTGTAATTCTATCATTCAAGAAACATTTGTCATGAGAGTTGAAAACAGTTGTGCTTCTTAATATTTTTGTGGAAACCATGAAACATTTTTTTAAGATTGTGTGATGGAAGTTCAAAAGAACAGCATTTATTTAAAAATAATTTAAAAAATCTTTACTGTCACTTTTGGTCAATTTAATGCATATTTAAAAAAAATAGCATTAAAGCTCAGTGTTACAGTGGAGTGATGGAGTCTGTGTACTCCATGAACTATCCATTTAACAATAAGATGCTTTGGGCCCATCTCTTAAGGGCACCTGTGTGCCTCTCTTCCTGCTTGTAGTGCATCAGCATACGGCTGCATGTGGCTTCTCTTCTGCCCACTCATGACTGAACAGAACTCAGACCTTATTAAAGCAAATGGCTCAGCCTCATTTAGTAGCAGCCATCCTTCATGCCATCTGCAGAAACACTCACGGACTAGGCTCAGCTCACAGCTGGAGCTCACCCCATTCCCAGACCTGCTGCTGTCACACCACTCAGAGCAAAGGCAATCCGTGTGGGAAAAGTGTCTTCCTTTTAGAACCTCTGCTGAACACTTAAGGGTGTTGTTAACTCATAATGACTGATTGATTGGATCCTGCCGATATTCGACAGGCCTTATTATGACTCCACTGAAGCGTATTTGTTGTGGCCTAATGAAATATTAAGTGTGATGATTTAATTTTTCTTGTTGTGTACACTGACTTTCTCTATCAAACAGAGTTCAAATGATGAACTAGACACTTTCAGACAGACTCTCTCATGAACGTTAAGCTATCTGCCTTTCTGTAGGATGCTTAACATTGCTGTTGGTGCATCAATTGTTTGGTTCTTAGTGTGGTACACCTGACCAGAACCAGTATACCTGAACATAAAATCTAAGCAAGAAACTCAGAGAGGAACAAGACACATAAGGGTCAATTGTTCGAAATTGAGATATATACATTATCTGAAAGCTGAATAAATAAGCTTTCCATTGATGTATGGTTTGTTAGGATAGGATAATATTTGGCCGAGATACGACTATTTGAAAATCTGGAATCTGAGGGTGCAAAAAAATCAAAATATTGAGAAAATCGCCTTTAAAGTTGTCCAAATGAAGTTCTTAGCAATGCATATTACTAATCCAAAAATTAGGTTTTAATATATTTACAGTAGGAAATTTACAAAATATATTCATGGAACATGATCTTTACTTAATATCCTAATGCTTTTTGGCATAAAAGAAAAACCAATCATTTTGATGTTAATAATTTTTTTGGCTATTGCTACAAATATACCCCAGTGACTTAAGACTGGTTTTGTGGTCCAGGGTCACATATATAACAGTATATTGCTTGTATATTGCCTCTTGTGGTCAGCTGAATGTTTTTCCTTCATTTGTCATTTTCTTAAAAAGCTAACATATATACTGTATATACTACCATTCAAAAATTCAGTCAGTAAGATTTTTAGTAACACTTTAATTTTTTTAACTGTTATTAAAGGCTATAATGCATTATAATTATTTATGTGTGTTGTAATACATTATATCTTGTCATAAATAATTCAAACCAAATTTAAAATGCATAGTGTAACAATTAATTGATAAGTGTTATAATGTATCAACTGTGGTTACAATGATATGTGAGAGTGTACAATGCATTATAAAGTGCATTACAAGGCATAATTAATGCATTAAAACTAGTTTTATGATGCATTATACATAAAGGCTTTAAGTAAAGTGTTACCAGATTTTTTTTAAAGCACAACTGTTTTCATCATTGATAATAAAAATCAGCATCAGCATATTAGATTGACTAGAAAAGCTTTGTCTGCATCCAAAGATACCATTTCTTGGTTCAGCAAATTTTGCAATTATTTCAAACTAGAAAGATGAATTATTATGAATGGTTTTACCGCTCTTTAGTTAGGCCCAATCCCAATTCTATTTTATACCCCTTCCCCTTCCCCTAAGAATTGGGACACCACTACTATGCTGTCACATGTCATCATACGTCGTCTAGCTCCTACAATACACACACCTATACTGGTGAGCATTAGAGCCTTTAATTATTGTTCTATATTAATGCGCTGCTTACTGACACACACACACACATATCGGAGATCGCGCAGCTCACACATTCAGGAGAAAAGAAACTTGTCAACGCTGCCCCACGACTTTTATTAATAACAGTTTAAATACTGAATCGCTACATTATATTTTCCAGAAACAAGAGGATAAAATCGCTGTTTTTGAAGTAAACTCACTATAAAAAGAGAAACGCACAGACAAATTTAATCTCTCTCTCTCGCTCTCCAGCTGGCAATATTTGAGAAAAGGGTTTAGCGATTTATAATTATTGGGGGGACTAGCCCCCCTCAATGTCTATGGTGGTTATCGCCCTGATCAGACATGAAAATATGTTGTGGCACTATCGTGCAGTCTGTAATGATATGACGTTAGCAAATTTTAGTGATTTCTTGCAAACATTTCTTTGAGTAACATGACCGTAAATATGAACTCACGATTGAAAGTAACATAAAACAAATTATTACTTTTCGTTAAAATCTTTATTAATGCCAAAAATGCTTACATTTATGTGTCTTTTTGTTCGCTCGGGCAGCCATGTTGCCGCTGAAGCCGGTTTACGCTGAGATAATTCATACCCCTTCTTTTGAAGTGTGGTCCCGAAAAATCTTAGTTTGTAGGGCTATCTGGCCCTTCCCCTACCCCTACCCCTCCAACCAAAAGAGAATCTAGACACCCCTTCACGTGTACGCGCGAAACGGAGGGGTAGGGGAAAGGGGAAGGGCTAAGGGGTAGAATTGGGATTGGGCCTTAGTATCCTTTCTTACCTTGCTGCTTAATTTGACATTTTCCCCCCAGATGTTTCACAAATTACTGAGTTTTTTGTTGTTGTTGATGAATTAGAAATGTTCGATGAATTAGAATTTTTTTCTTTTAAAGCTTTTAAAACTGAAGCTATTTTTTTCTAAATAGGTTTCCCTCTGAATGTCTTTTAACACTTTGTCTTCTATTGGTTGGACAGATAGTCCTGCCCCCATCTAATGGAATTACTTGAGCCAATCTCGCTGTTTCAGGCTGATTAAATGGCTACAAATGGCTTAGTTATAGTTGGCATATGCTGGTATACAAGAAAATTACACACATCAGCATTAAATTGTGCTTGTCCAACTCATTTCCGTCTTGCATCATAAAAGTATGAAAATGTGGTAACAGAATTGCTAAGGCTAAGTACTGTGTGAATAAAAAGCACCCACACTATGGCCTGGTCTCATCTTTTATAGCAGCATTATATAAGTCAACCCCCTGTTGTCCTGAATATTGCAGAAAACCATTAAACTTTAATTAATTTGTAATGTCACTTTATGTTTAATGTATGAATGCATGGGGCACAGTAATGATAAATCTGCTCCAGTTCTTTATGCTGTGTGTTTGGGTTCCAGACATTTGTGGTGATCAGCGTTCTCTGTGGACCGTATGTAGGCAGCCAGAATGAGTTCAACAAGAGTAGATGGTGTGCACATCCAGCAGAATATCTTTGATTTCTGCTCCAGAGGAATGCTGAAAAAATGGTATCCAAACTAGATGTCTGTGGAGGAAACAAATGTATTCGAAGGGGATGGGGAGTATGAGGAGAGAAGAACTCAATTGAAATGAGATGAAAAAATTGAAAGACGCAAGAGTTCAATCATGCATACCACTGGACCAACACATAGGCTTTAGTGATATTTGCTTTAGATGCCTTATTAATATTAAATTTCAGCCTGTTGTGTTCTTCCCTTAACATCCAGTGTACAGTGTGGGACTGGGACTCGAACGGAAAGCACGATTTCATAGGGGAGTTTCAAGCTACGTTCAAAGAGATGCGATTAGCGATGGATGGAAAACAGGTAACAGCTTTAAACTTGTTATAAAAAATGTATCAATTTATTTTAGTACTTTCACATCCAACACACAGAGAACACCATCTACAAGCCAAGCAGATTTTAAAATCCAATTGACTTTATTTGAAACAGCTCTGTGAGATATTCAGAGCAGGTTAAGCTACTGATGAGTAGGAACTAGTTCGGTTCAAAGAGTAATCAGCAAAAGTGAAAGATGAAAGAGGAATGAGGTTATATGAGGAGATCTTCATGTGGGTCACTGTCAGTTTAGTTTCTTCTGTACTTTAACAGATTCTGTAGAGAATCTTCTCCAGTATCCCTGAACTGAACGGCTGGATTTTTCTCTCATATTCTCATCATCTAAAAAGATAGATAGATGTATAGATAGATAGCTAGACAGACAGATAGATTCGGATTGATTCAGTGATTGTTTGAGTTATCGATTATTTGATTAGTTGATTCTTTGAAACCAAATCCATTTAAGAAGGACCTGATGTACACATACCAAAAAACATAACTGAACTCAAAATTACTGACTGCAAAAGAACAATGTGCTCTAATGGAATTATAAGTGGAATAATTGCATAATTAGAATGATTTAATTTAATGACACAATTGATGGAAAGTTTTTTAAATGCTATTTTGAAATATCTGTGTAGCTGTGCACTTTAAACATCAGGCAAACACACAAAAAGGATCACATCAGAATTCATAACCCAGCACCTGCTGTGTCCATTAAGTCATTCTGCACTTCTGTAATTTGGAGTTTGCGCTTTATTGCATTTCAGGACCACTATGCTGTTTACAAACTAGAAGCAAACTGGATAATTGCATTTTTATGCTGGAAAATTCACACAAAATGACCACGTCCTCCTTAATAATCGATAATGAGGATGTTGTTCTGTGTAAGTGTTAAAGAGTATTCAATCCCCATTAAATAGTCTACAATGCGCAGCTTGCTCTAAAAATGGATCCAGTGATTAACCATTACTGCTAAAGACTAAATTAGCCAGCATCTCTTTCTGATTTTGAAAACAATAAGTCATTGTCTTTTAAGCTGTCAGTTAATTGTAACTCTGCTAATGTATGAATGCATGGGGCACAGTAATGATAAATCTGCTCCAGTTCTTTATGCTGTGTGTTTGGGTTCCAGACATTTGTGGTGATCAGCGTTCTCTGTGGACCGTATGTAGGCAGCCAGAATGAGTTCAACAAGAGTAGATGGTGTGCACATCCAGCAGAATATCTTTGATTTCTGCTCCAGAGGAATGCTGAAAAAATGGTATCCAAACTAGATGTCTGTGGAGGAAACAAATGTATTCGAAGGGGATGGGGAGTATGAGGAGAGAAGAACTCAATTGAAATGAGATGAAAAAATTGAAAGACGCAAGAGTTCAATCATGCATACCACTGGACCAACACATAGGCTTTAGTGATATTTGCTTTAGATGCCTTATTAATATTAAATTTCAGCCTGTTGTGTTCTTCCCTTAACATCCAGTGTACAGTGTGGGACTGGGACTCGAACGGAAAGCACGATTTCATAGGGGAGTTTCAAGCTACGTTCAAAGAGATGCGATTAGCGATGGATGGAAAACAGGTAACAGCTTTAAACTTGTTATAAAAAATGTATCAATTTATTTTAGTACTTTCACATCCAACACACAGAGAACACCATCTACAAGCCAAGCAGATTTTAAAATCCAATTGACTTTATTTGAAACAGCTCTGTGAGATATTCAGAGCAGGTTAAGCTACTGATGAGTAGGAACTAGTTCGGTTCAAAGAGTAATCAGCAAAAGTGAAAGATGAAAGAGGAATGAGGTTATATGAGGAGATCTTCATGTGGGTCACTGTCAGTTTAGTTTCTTCTGTACTTTAACAGATTCTGTAGAGAATCTTCTCCAGTATCCCTGAACTGAACGGCTGGATTTTTCTCTCATATTCTCATCATCTAAAAAGATAGATAGATGTATAGATAGATAGCTAGACAGACAGATAGATTCGGATTGATTCAGTGATTGTTTGAGTTATCGATTATTTGATTAGTTGATTCTTTGAAACCAAATCCATTTAAGAAGGACCTGATGTACACATACCAAAAAACATAACTGAACTCAAAATTACTGACTGCAAAAGAACAATGTGCTCTAATGGAATTATAAGTGGAATAATTGCATAATTAGAATGATTTAATTTAATGACACAATTGATGGAAAGTTTTTTAAATGCTATTTTGAAATATCTGTGTAGCTGTGCACTTTAAACATCAGGCAAACACACAAAAAGGATCACATCAGAATTCATAACCCAGCACCTGCTGTGTCCATTAAGTCATTCTGCACTTCTGTAATTTGGAGTTTGCGCTTTATTGCATTTCAGGACCACTATGCTGTTTACAAACTAGAAGCAAACTGGATAATTGCATTTTTATGCTGGAAAATTCACACAAAATGACCACGTCCTCCTTAATAATCGATAATGAGGATGTTGTTCTGTGTAAGTGTTAAAGAGTATTCAATCCCCATTAAATAGTCTACAATGCGCAGCTTGCTCTAAAAATGGATCCAGTGATTAACCATTACTGCTAAAGACTAAATTAGCCAGCATCTCTTTCTGATTTTGAAAACAATAAGTCATTGTCTTTTAAGCTGTCAGTTAATTGTAACTCTGCTAAAATGCACAGCTACAGCTGGATGACACCTCGTTCTCTTGTGAAGTCCCGAACGCTTTGGGCTGGTATCTCTATACCGCAGGCGGCAGTACCAGAGTCTGCTAATTATTTTAGAACATCGCTTCCAGGCTCGACATCATTCCTCATTATTATGACTGAAATTGTTGTTTTCTGAGTCTATTGTCGACTGGAGCACTTGTTTTTGGCCTTCTCTGCTCCAATGGAAAGCTATTATGCACCATCTCACACGTTCTAATGAAGCTATTATATTGTCCAGGATGTCTTGATCGCCCACTCCAACCAGTAATGATGGAAAGCTAATGGTTTGTTTTAATTTTTTATTTGTATATGTTTGAAACAATGACAGGTCCAGTGGGAATGCATAAACCCTAAATATAAAGTCAAGAAGAAGAATTACAAGAACTCTGGGATTGTCATTCTGAATCAGTGCAAGGTAACATTTTTTCATCATGAAATTATGCTCTCTAGAGGACCTTGTCTCCTCCCCGTAGGCCCTGTATTTCAAAAAGTGTCAGTGTCATGCTGTCAGCAGAGGCGTTTATGGTTACAGTAGATGGAGGTGGGAACTTCACACAGCTAGAAGTCATTCCATCCGGCTAAAATGTGAGATTCTAGCTCTGCAAATGGCCAATGAATTTGATCATAGTTTACATAAATTAGAAGTGATGAGAAGAAGATAGCAACGTGAAAGTGCTTGAATTCACGATAACCTGTCCTTTTGTATCCACAGATCATTAAGATGCATTCCTTCCTGGACTACATCATGGGTGGTTGCCAAATACAGTTTACAGTAAGTCCAGACAGATACAACTCATTCTTTCTTAGTTGATGGTGTTCATTTATCTGTGTTTATATTTATAAAACAAATCATCCATTATTATTTGCTTTCTCTGGCATTAGCATAGCCGCCAGTTTTGTTTAATGAATTATGTTATTATTAGTCAGAGCACTCATGATTTATTATTCATTACCATGTACATACTAATGGGAACAGGAAAAACAGTGTCATTCTAAAAATTTTTTTTTTGCATAATTTATAAATTAATAATTGTCTCGCCTGCTAACAGCGCTGTTATTTTCGCATGACACTTTTGTGTGCACCGTAATGTTTCATTACTTTTATTATCTGTCACAATATGTTCTTTCTGAATTGTTCTCATGTACAGTCTCCTGAAATGTTTTTAGAATTAGTTTCAGTTAAACTGATCTCATATTTGTTTTATGAATTGATATAACATGCAGTTTTAATAAGTGTTGATATTTCTCTAGAAAGCAAACTGGTAGACCTGCAGTTTTTACCAACCTTTCCTGCTTAAACAGAAAATGGTGTTGATAAAGGAGAGGGATCTTACTTTCAGGGATGTGATCCGTTAAATGTTGGTACATGCACTGTATATAAAATCCATATGGGTTATTAATGAGTAAATTGATAAACACACACACACACACACACACACACACACACACGGTATATATATATATGACCGTACCTGTGAAAACCCAGCTAAAGTCATTTTTTTTGTGATTTACTGTTTTCTACATAAAATCATCCTTCATAAAGATGTAGAACATTCTGTGAAAATATAACCTTTATATCTTTAATATTGACTGAGTAAGGCCATGTCAAAGATTGAAATCATAGTGAAATTAATGGTTGAAATCAAATTTTGATGCTTGTTATCTCATAATTAGATTTTGAGACTTTAGCCTGGATTTCACAGACAGGGTCACGTATATATATATACAGAAAGCACAAACATTGAATTAATTGTCTAAACCATTGAATTATATGATTGTGTCAACATTAACTTTTGATCAAATGTAGTTGGTAATAGAGACTATTTCAAGACATTGGGTATAAGCTATAGGTATTTTCCCCTGATTTGTAGTGTTACATAGTCCAGTTTTTATTTTATTTTATTAGTGGTCCTCCTAAAAAGGGTTTGAGAACCACTACTTAAGATGACATGGGTTTTATGATCATGAGAAACAAAGTCAGTGAAGTGTGTCCATACTATTGATTTTTGGTGCATGACTTTTGGTATATAATGGGAATATTGTGTTAATATGTTTGTCATAACTATACAAGCCAGGTATATTTTATCTACGTACATACATAGTCCCACGCCTACATAAACTCATGCATTTTACAGCTCTATACAATCTGTTTACTCTCTGTCAATGCCGTTAGGAGACAGCGCTCTGTAGCGATTCTCCACATGGTGTATACATTTTGAGTAATTAGCGTGAAAGCACTACTTTGATTGCTGCTTGTCTTTTCAGGTAGCGATTGACTTCACAGCCTCTAATGGGGATCCTAGAAACAGTTGTTCGTTACACTACATCCACCCCTACCAGCCTAATGAGTATCTGAAAGCTTTAGTCGCAGTGGGGGAGATTTGCCAAGACTATGACAGGTGAGCTGGCTGAACAGCCAATCAAATCCCAACTTCAGCTCTCAAGGTCCTCGACTTTCTTTCATACACCAGTTGTTTGGGTTCACACACATGCGAGTCAGTTCTCTTTCTCAGAGTATTTTGACAGTATAGTGAGTAAAGTAGAGTCCCAACATTGGGGTTTTATTATTTATGTAATATGTAGGCAGTCTAAAAGATAAAAAATGTGAAGGAAACAAGGGGTCAAGGTTTGGCTGGTTAGCATGGTCCCAAAACCTTTTAGATGTGGATGCATCATTCACCATTGATGGCCATTTAAAAGTAGCCATGTATTCTGACCAAAGAACATTTTTTACAAGAAAAAATATATATATATCATGTGATAGTGTGTGTTTTACCCACAGTGACAGATTTTTTTTTTTGAAAAACTGAAAGCCCTGGAGCACAGAGAGCAATATGCAGGTCACACATTTTTTTTTATACATGATGTTATGGTGCCTTGGAAGCCAGTTTGAGACTAGTTTCTTTAGGAGAAAACACCTTCTGGTAAGTCAGTGACTGACTTGCTGCTGTAGGCACACAGATAATATGAAGAAATGTGATGTCCTGAACTTGAAACGGTAAAAACAGGTAGTTATGTAACCAAGACACAACACTGAAAACTTAATTTACAATGCTTTTCACTTCAAACAGTAAATAGAGAGTGGTTAATTGGAATTTATGAAAAAAAAAGTTTTATTTTGATCCCAATTTACATAGCTACTCCATTTTGTTGTAAAAACAGTAGAATATGTCATCCACAGACTAGGCCTGTTTTAATTAAACATACGTTAAAGACAGCAAAACAAGGTGGGAGTTACATTTTGACAGACAGCCTGTTATTTTCAAACCTAATTTTATTAGACCTGTGGCCTTTGCATTTTAACAGTTGGTGATTATTTAAAAAACCCTGAAGCAGTTTTTGGATAACATTCTAAATCCCAGCAATTTTTACCACTGTAGCTGAGCTGTTATTTCAGCTCTCTGAAAGGTCATTCAAAAGCTCATTTCCAGCACCATGTCGAGCTCCGGCATCACTCCAGAACGAGATGAATGCACATCCATCAGGACATTTGGTTGGGATGAAATCTGAAATCACAGCGCTTGCTAATTTGGCAGGCACTAACAATAACAATTATGCAAATCTGTGTCTATTACAAATGAGCAGTGATGATGGGCAACTGAGACAGGAAAGCATGATGGGAAATTTGGTAAGTAATCCCCAAGATCCTCAATTCCTGCCAGCTTTAATCTCCTGTCCACTTTCGTTTCCATGCAGTGACAAAATGTTCCCAGCGTTTGGCTTTGGTGCTCGGATACCTCCAGACTTCAAGGTAACTTTTTTATCATTTATAGCGATGGGGGTGCAATGGGATTTTTTCATTATTGGGATGAAGAGTGAAAGATGCTTCTAATTAGGCTACCGCTGGAGTAATGTATGAACTGATGTCAGCAGGTTAATTTCTCTTTGACAGATAATGTGCCTTTGTGTAGAGCTGAGAGTATTTTGTATTCATCTTAGGCTTCAACAGTTTTGACTAGATGGATCAAATATCTGAATGTACAGTCCTCACTTCAGACTTATTTTTAAAATCTCTTTAAAGTATTCAAACAAATTGTATTGAAAATCATGTGTTTATTTACAACGTGAAGCGAAGGGTCTTGAATAAACCTGGAGGGGGTATTGACCAGCAATATTGACCAGCCGAATGTACTTTATCCTGCTTATTTCAAGACTACTCACTTCACATAAACAAACAAACAAACAAACAAATAAATAAATACTGATTTAAGTTTGATTTATTTATTATGTGATAGAGACAGCAAAATGGTAGCTGAGATATGGGACAATTATACAATGTAGCAATCAGTATATAAATATATTTGACTACAGAATGCAGCAGCTGACTAATTATAATCAAGACAGCACGACTGCGAGATTGAACAAGAGTTCAGTGAACAAGATGCTGAGTAATTTTAGACAATATTGCCAGTTATTGTCTACTTTTGGTTTCACCAACCAAAAAAGTTCCGAATGAGGTTAACACAGAATCAACACTTTGAGCAACGCACCGTACAAACGAATGAATAAATCATTCTTTTGAATCGGTTCTATTCGGTGAATGGGTTGAACCAGTTCACTAAATCAGACTGAATGGTTTGAAACACTGCATCTCAAATCGATCAATGAAGTGATCAAATGTGCTCGATATTCTGACTCAAAAGGGAGTAATGTGGTCATTAAACCATAATATGTTTTTGATCATTGATTTTTGCAATTAATCATTTTGTACAAACAATTCTTGCAACAGTTCTGGAGTCAACATTACACTAAACCGATCACAGCAACAGTACCAATTGAGAATAAATGTAAGACTGCTGACAATAAACATAATATAAAGTATAGCTGCAAGCAGCAATTACGGGGCCAAGCACTCCAGAGGCAAAATGAGGAGCTAAGCATGGCATGGAGCATCAGACCAAATGCAACAATGAATAATAAAAGTAATTTTAGGATGATTGTAAATGAAATGGCTGAAAAATCATAAATACAACCTCTAGTAATATGATTAAATGGCTTATCACTTTTGACCAACAGGTGGCGCTGTAATCAAATCCTTTCGGTGTGTTCTGTGTGAGGTGACATTGACACACACAAAGTTTGTTGTCATTATGTCAAAGCTTTGCAGAGATACAGCCTCAGAGTCATTTTGGCATCATGCCTCAAATTTGTGGCACTGTACGAAAACGGTTTTGTCTACGAAATCCATAACTTTTTGTCAGCACAGTCTGAAGATGATTTGACTCAATTTTGGTGAAAATTGGACAAACGGTTGAGGAGGAGTTCGAAAAAGTAGGTTTTCAACATAAATCAAAATGGCAAAGTTATTATCATTTTTGGAAATGTCATAATTAATGGTTAATGAATGGTTTATTACTCTTGACAAATAGGTGGTGCTGTTACCAAAATGATGTTGCCTGGTCAGTGTGAGGTAATGTCACATACAAAGTTTGGTGTAAATATGTCAAAGCTTTGCAGAGATACAGCCTCAGATGCAGTTTGGCATCTTTCCAGCAAATTGGTTGATGTGTTAAATGAAAACCGCTTTGTATATCGACACGAAATCCATAACTTTATGCCAGCTTGGTATGAAGATGATCCGAGTCAAATTTGGTGAAAATCGGACTAACGGTCTAGAAGGAGTTCGAAAAAGTAGATTTTCAACATGAATCAAAATGGCGGACAGGAAGTTTAGCCAATTATGGCAAAATTGGTATCGATGTTCTCAGCATGATCCAAGGAATCTATCAATATCAGTCTCATTACAATAGGCTAATGTAAGCAAAAGTTATTAGCATTTTCAGAAATTTCATTATAACTTTTGGCCACAAACTTTTTGAGTACCATCAGGGCATGGTGTCAAAGATGCATACCGAGTTTCATAACGATACATCAATGCATTCATAAAATATTGCATATTATGACAAAATTCAAAATGGCCGACGCCCAAAATGGCTGACATGGGAAATGGATATGGTTCGACTCGGCATGCTCCACTGAATCTAAAGAGATCAGTTTTGTGATTTTTGGCCAAACCTTTCAAAAGTTATAAGCAAAAATAGCCATTTTTTATTATCTCCTGACCACTAGGTGGCACTGCACTGAAACACTGCATGTAGCCTCAACACACACCAATTAGTTCGCACGTTATTCAAGAACGGTTGCACGAATCAACTTGAATTCCATAACGTTTTGCCAGCATGGTCTGAAGATGATCTGAGCCAATTTTGGTGAAAATCGGACGAACCGTCTAGGACGAGTTCGAAAAAGTAAGTTAGAATTTTCCTATATAGAACTACATAGAATTTTCCTTTTGTGCCTTACAGTTCAAAAGTTATTAGCATAAACATGAGTGAAAGTTTGGACAAGTGGTGGCGCTAGAGAGTTTTAGTTAGAGACTCCAAATTTGCTGTGGTTAATGTTGAGACTGTGCTCTATGAGTGTGCCAAATTTCAAAACTTTCCCGCAAGCGGTTCTATGGGCTGCCATAGACTTCCAGAGCGGAAGAAGAACGCCAACGGATACAATAGGTGCCATTGCACCTTCGGTGCTTGGCCCCTAATTAATCGAAAAATGTGTCTACATATGGCTTTAATGATGTGTTTGAGTGATGTAGGGACGTCAGAATTACGTGCTGTTGTAAAAAGAACTGGTGAACCGTTTTTTGAACTAGTTCACTGAAAGGAACAGTCCAAAATAATCACTTTGCAGAAATTAATTTGGACTTCCCATCACATGGTGATTCACACCCGAATGACTCATCATTTTGAACAAATCAGTTAAGTGAATAATTCAGTGACTGTCATGTGTTTAGCTCCTGAATGAAATGGTGTTTTTGAATTGTTTGAGTGATTAAAAAAAAATGTGATTTGTGATTGTGATTTACACCTGCAGAAATGTCACTGAAAAAATCCTGACCAGTAGCTATGTTTCCTTCACCCTGTTTTTATGCGCATTTTGCAGTATCAGAAACGAGTGATGGAAAAGTGAAATTAAAAAAAAAAAAAAATTATCTTAATTCCCCAAAAAGTTTTTACGCTCACTTGAGGTGGTTTTTGACTGAAAAAGAGTTAATGCGAATAATGGAAATGGATTTGCTAAATAAATTCTTCCATGCACATCAAAAAAGTCATGTGGCTTTGCACAACTGAATGGGATAACTTGCTTCTCCTACTTTTATTAGTGATATTTAGTGCTAGTTTATCAGAAAGTGATGATTTTGTTCTCCTGACTCGGATGGAAACTGTGCTTTATTCGCAAATGTTTTATTCCAAAATTGCGCATAAGTTAAATTCGCAACTTTGGATGGAAAGTAGCTAGCGAAGAGTCCCTGCTGTTGGGCTATATATCAGAACTCTTGAAAAGCTGCTCAGCCAATCAAATTCAAAGAACTAACAATTGCATAATATATGGCATGAATTATACTCAGAGTATATTATTCATGCCACAAATAGCCTAAGAAGGTTGTGTTTCTTTTTTTCTTTCTTTTCCCCCAGGTTTCACATGACTTTGCAGTAAACTTCAACGAGGACAACCCAGAATGTGCAGGTATGATGGTGCATTCATCCAAATATTTGATCTATTCCAGACCATATAGCTTAAATGATCTCCTCAATGCAGATTCATTAACTTCCCTATTCGACCTTTGCCCACTGGGACTGAACTACTTAAAGCCTCAACATATCATTGGCAAAGTCAAACAGTCCCCCCACACAAAGGAGATCAATATATGCATAACTGAATTACAGAGCTACGCTATTGACAAAGGTGGATACATTAATGTTTAATGCTGCTATAAAATATACAGCCTGAGGGGAATGTCTGAAGGAGGGAAGCGTGGATGACGTTGTTGTCACACCCTCCCCCTCCCCAGTAATTAGTCTTTCTGGGCCATGACAGCAGGTAAAAATGACACGTTAGCACAAAATGACACATCAGCACAAAAACAAGATGTTTTAAGGCTTGGTGAAATGATAGTGGTGCCTTGCATTAGATCAGAACTTCTTGTACAGAGTTTTAGGACGTTGTTTAATTTTGTAGGATACATGTTTACATATTTTATTGAAATTTGTTAGCACTCTGCTTTTTTATTTAACCACCCTGTGCTGCAAAAGCAAGACCGTAATCTCTTGGTTTAAAGTTTGAAACTCGTGTCGTCTAAAAGGGTGGCTGCTATCAGAGAGTAAAGATTCAAATATAAGAACAATGAATGCTTGAAATACAGAAACTGATGGGAAAGTAAAGTAATATAAATGATAATTCTGTTGTTGTGAGCAAGCCTCTGCCAAGCCATCTATGCATTCAAATGTAAGCCAACTCTCTTTGGGATGGCGTTGGCTTGGAAGTCAAGTCAGAAGTTGCAAATGATTGGATTTTGTATTTAGTTTGCTCTCAGTTTGTGTTTAGTGCTTAGCTTTCCCATCATCCCTGTCTTCAGCCATGAGCAGGATAAATTGATCATCGCTCCAGTGTATTGGTGTCACTTGATTTCCCTTGCTATTTCTGTTCCACCTCTATCAGCGCAGACACACCGGGGTGGCGCCCAGAATGGGCACAGACCACTCAGCTTTTGATCAAGCAGCCAGGCCTGTCTCTTCCAGGAATAGCAAATGGCTCACAGCCCCACCAGGACACATGCCAGCCAATCTACCCCGAGCAGAGAGCGCACCTTTTTGCCCTGGTATTGTCTGGAAAATCCAGCATGACAGTTTTGCAGTTCCGATGAACCTGGATGAGACACACAGTATGCTTGAATGGTGTGAACGACATTGGTGTGCAATTATAAGTCATTTTTACTTTCCAAATATTGACAACCTATTGTAGACAAGCCGTGGCGAGGCGTTTTGAGAGCACGGTTGTTTGCTTTCCATGAAAGAGGCCAATTTGTAGTCTTCTCACTCTTCCAAAATAATTTCTTCTGAAAGTTTTACTCACCTGTAAACCTTTGAGCAGTGGGGTGTAAACATCTTGCCACAATCAAGAGGTTAGTACTACCCTGCTGGAAGAGGTCATGACTTAACCATTCTGATGCCATACCAAACTTTGCCCGTTATGGCTTTTCAGAAGTAGAAGGCAGTGGAGTGGGGTATGAGTGGTTATGAACGAATGAATGAAACACATTTGTTCGTGTTTCACTCCGTCTCGAATCGCGCTCGTTGAAAGCACTTGAGAAACTGTCTCTTCCACGGCTCGGTATGCTTTCAACTCGTTTTTTTAGTCTTGAGCAATGTACAACATTCACATTACATGATTTGACTGATTTTTACGTAGAAAGGGTGACAGCGCACCGCATTAAAAGAAATGATCATTCATGTTTTCATAACCGCTGGCCAAATTCAAAAACGAAACTAAAATTAAATCATCTTTGAGAGCAAGGGGGCAAAGCAAAGGGGGTGTTTCGGGGCCCTATGCAGCTTGCGTATTTTGCGTATAGGGAGGATCGGCTCTGATTTTTATTACTGTATAAATGATATATGCATCTCCACTAGCATTTAAAAGCATTTAAGTGAAAGTGAAGTGACCCATACTCTGAATTTTTGCTCTGCATTTAACCCATCCAAGTGCACACACACAGTAGTGAACGCACACACACGCCCGGAGCAGTGGGTAGCCATATTGCTGCGGCGCTCAGTGAGCAATTGGGTGTTCGGTGCCTTGCTCAAGGGTCTCACTTCAGTTGTGGTATTGAAGGTGGAGAGAGCGCTGCTTATTCACTCCCCGAGTCCCCCCACCTACAATTCCTGCCGGACCTGAGACTCAAACCCGCAACCTTTGGGTTACAAGTCCAACTCTCTAACCATTAGGCCACGACTGCCCCCAGTTTTACAGTTCGGGGTCAGTACAATTTTTAATGGTTTTGAAAAAAGTCTCATGCTTATCAAGGCGTCATTTATTTGATACAAAATACAGCAAAAACAATATTGTAAAATACATTTACAATTTAAAATAATGCTTTCTGTTTTAATATATTTTAAAATGTTATTTATTCCTATATGACAAATTATTCTAGTCTTAGTGGCACACGATCCTTCAGAAATCTTTCTAATATACTGATTTGCTGCTCAAGAAACATTTCTTATTTTTATGACAGTTAAAACAGTTGTGCTGCTTAATATTAATTTTCATTTTGTGGAAACTGTAATACATTTTGTTTAGGAATCTGATGAATAAAAAAGTTCAGAGAACAGCATTTATTTTAAATAGAAATGTTTATTTATATAGAAATATTTATAATGTATTTTGTTCTATAACATTATAAATGTTTATACTTTATTTTTTTGTCAATTGAATGCATCCTTATTGAAATAAAGATTTTATTCAATATTTATTCAAATTGAAATTAAACTTTTAAACACTAAACATTTAAATGCTAGTGTATTTAATTCCATTTCTATCACTTATATTTCCATGGTATCCAACAAAAAATATATATCTTACGTAAAGCAAACATAATTTTCTTTACATTTGTTGTCTATAAGCTCAGCTTTCTGCAATGTTTCACCCTTTCAACTCAGGTATCATCTAAAATTCTGAGTTTCCCACTTGGTCGCTTGATAAATATGACATTTCTGATGTCCAAGGCCACAAGAATTCCCATGAGCAAGCATGTTGAAGACTTCTGGGGAGTCACATGCTAGCCAAGGAACAGCCTTTGAGATGAGTATTGTAACAGATCTTTTTCTCCAGATAGACCTCCTTGGCTGTAACACATCAGAAACTTATAATCTAGTGCCTTGAGGAGAATTTTGTTGGCCAATGCAATTACTCTAGACTGTAATTAGAATTGGGGTGAAAAGGCAAAGAGCTCATTTAGCTGATTACTGACACTTTGCAATGTGAGTGTGTGTGGTTTTCTTTGAGGGGTTGTGGGACGGTTCACATGTCAGTGACAGTCAATGAATCCTAGGTGGAACTCCCAATGTGATATCACATCTAACAACATTTACAGCTTTCTATTTGCGGAAGGTGATGGATTTTCGTTCATAGTGCTAACATCACAGGCAGACACAAGGGCACACGCACGTCATATGGTGAGACATTCTCACAGCAGCAGTGTGAATTGGCCAAATGTGACTGTCGATGCATGAAGGTTTGGAAGGTGTTATGATGAAAGGACGTCAGCAGTAGGTTAATTCAAGCCTTTTAATGTCATCATCATGACTTATCCTTTAAAGAGACAGTGCAGTATGTGTGTCAGAGTTGAAGAGTCTATTAGGGACCAGCGCGTCTCTTTGATTCCTCTTTGCGGGGAAGCCACAGAAGCGATTACATCTATTGACCTCCGCTTTGAAAGGCTTCTCATCTTAATTCTGCTGCCACACAGCATGGCATGCTTTCACCTTTGAGCCCGTTTGTGCATGTTCAAGCTCACAGGTATTAATTAAATGAAACCGTTGGAGACGTGGTGAGGAGAGACAGGCTGACCTTAAGATTCATGCTCAGCGAATCAGTAAACAGCATTACTGCTTCATTGCAGAGATTGAGTCTTCACTGACACTCATTCCAGTCCTTTAAATGTATTGCACGTCAGTTTACACCCCATGAAGAGTCTTTAAGCATTAAAAAAGAAAAAATAAATACAATTAATGATCAAATATAAGAGATAAAATTATTTTAGTATTATTTTAGTATTGATATACTAGGATATTTAGTCTTTGTTAACATTTTGAATGTTTTTGTTTAATTTTAGTAATTTTTTGTGTCTTTTTTTTATTGTCTATGTAGTTTTTTTATTATAATTTATTTTTAAATTTTAGTTTAGGTAGTTTTAGTTATTTTGGTACTTCAACCTAAAATGAAAATGAGAAATGTTGTTTTGGCATCTGAAATAAAGTTTGTTTGTTTTATATATTTTTTTCAGTTAAGTTTTTTAATGATTTTTAGTTACTTTAGTACTTCAATTTAAACTAAATAAAAATGAGAAATTTTGCCTTGGCGACTGTCTGAAATAAAATTATTTTATATATGTATTTTATTTTTTTCCAGTCAATGTTTATTTTATTTCAAGTAATGAAACTTTAAATAAACTTAAATGAAACTTAAAATAAATAACTCTAAAATTAAATAAGTTTTTTTTATTTTTTTTATTTCAGTTAATATATATTTTATTTCAAGTAATTATTTTTTATTTACATTTTTAGTTTACAATAGTTTATTTAGTTTTAGTTGTGTTAGTACTTTAAATGAAAATGAGAAATGTTGCCTTGGCAACTATCTGAAATGAAATTAAGTTTATAAGTTTTATTTTTATTTTGTTTTATTTCAAATAATGAAATAAGTTTATTTTCTTTTTTCTATTATTATTATTATTATTATTATTATTTTAGTTTTAGTTTAAGAAAATAACCCTGGAATTTTATTAGTGAGTAGTCTGTAGCTCACACAGCTTTTCAAACTTTGCAGGTATACAGGGTGTGGTAGAGGCCTACCAGAATTGCCTTCCTAAGATCCAGTTGTACGGTCCCACAAACATTGCCCCGATCATCCAGAAAGTGGCCAACTTTGCCTCTGAGGAAATGCACACCAAAGAGGCCATGGTGAGCCCGTTTCTATTCCATCTCTCGTCATCTCTAAAGTTTCTCTTGTTCTAAAGTTGTTCTTTTCTTGCTTCGATGCAGCAATACTTCATCCTGCTCATCCTAACGGACGGTGTGATCACAGATATGGCGGACACTAGAGAGGCGATCGTCCATGCCTCTCACCTGCCCATGTCTGTCATCATCGTGGGAGTTGGAAGCGCCGATTTCACTGACATGGAGATGCTGGACGGTGATGACGGAATCCTTCGTTCGCCTAAAGGGGAACCAGTGTTGCGTGACATCGTACAGTTTGTGCCGTTCCGTAACTTCAAACATGTGAGTTTACAAGGTTACATTATAAATGTGTTTATATGTATATATATACTATGTATACATTTTAATAATGATTTTTAAGTTTTCTTAAAAAATAGAACTATATATTTGTTTACATTTCTAACAATAATCAAATGTATAAAATGACTGAATAAATAAATAAACATGAAAACAAGGTTGAAATCAGGGGCACAACATATGTTTATCATATTTATTTAGTTGTAAGTGCCTAATGTTTTAGAGCCTCAGAGATCTTTTCATAACCAACGTCTGAGCTCCCTTTACTTGCAATCGAAAGATAAAATGATAATACATGCAGCTGAACTGTAGATCATGCCCTTTAATCAATGCATCGCTATGCAGAGGTTTTCATCCTGCATCTTTATAATGTCTGAAGTACCTCTTAAGGAGAATCTCTCCTGGTTAATTACTCCCTCCTTCCTCTGCGCTCTCCGTCTCACATTTCCCACCCAGACTCGGAGCAATCTAATAACCTTTAGCTCGACTGCTCCATTAATTACCACATCTTTTGCTGGTCCCTGGTGGAAAACAAACCACAGAATGCAGAGAGAAGTGTTACCTCACGAGTGGGTTAACTTGACTGTGACAAACCCCACAGTCTTTGCTGTTATAAAGGATTGTGTTTTTTAATAAAGAGCCCAAAGGTTTTCTGAGGAAGGTTTTTGATTCTGTGATTTAGAAATGTTCTGAAAATTACTATTCAGTAGTGTGGGGTCTGTAAGATTTATTTTTTTTTTTTTTAAGAAATCAATACTCTTATTCAGCAAAGGTTAAACTGATCAAACATGACAGTTAAGACATTTATTAGTTATTTAAAAATTATCTTTCAAATAAATGTTCTTTTGAACTTTCTAAGAATGTGGAAAAAATGTCAGTTTCCACAAAATGTTTTCATTATTGATAATAACAACAAATATTTCTTGAGCACCAAATCAGCATATTAGAATTATTTTTGAAGGATCATGTGACACTGAAGATTGGAATAATGATGCTGAAAATAAATGTAAAATTTAAATTGTACACTCTAAAAAATGCTGGGTTAAATATAACCCAGCACTGGGTTAAAAAGGGACAAACCCAGCTATAGGGTTGTTTTGACCCAGCGGTTGGGTTCAAAACAACCCAATAGCTGGGTCAAAACAACCCAATAGCTGGGTTTGT